GGGTGATCGCGCACGTACGTATGCATCTGCGGCGCGTCAACAAAACACAACACGGTTCGCTTCGATGTATATACGCGCAACCGGCGGTCGTTAGTGCGGTTTTTTTTTTCAAACTTAAATACACGTTCATTTACAAAATATATACTAGTGTATATATTATCTATATATATAAAGTTAAATATATTAAAATACCTAGACGTTCGCGTGTGTGCACACATGTATATCGTATAAATATATATATATACAGCAGAGTGTCTTAAACATCGATCTTCAGCCCTATAGAATCATTTAAATTTTTTTTTCTTCTTTTCAATTCAAAATATCATCAGGTACACTCTGTTCTATGGTGTACCGCCCGATAGTAACGTCGATACAATAGTTTTTTCCCCCCAAAATCGAATACATAGCGTATTTGCCAACGAACGTCTCGCCGGAGCAACAGCAGCTGCAGCGTTTTCAATGATCACCATGAACAGCCATTCGAACGACATCGATTACAGTAACGGGTATATGGAACCGGAAGAGGAATGGGAACGGGAAGGGTTGTTGGACCCAGCTTGGGAAAAACAACAGAAAAAGGTAAATCGATTTTCCATTGATTTGACGCGGTTTTTTGTGTATGGTCAAGGCACCATTTTTGTTCAACTACGGTCACAGGTACAACTTACACTTATCGACAAGTCTCAATGGCAGTCCACATTTGTTTTATGTCCATAGTTCCTTGTGTTGAGCAGTTATTAAGCTCCTAATCAATATTCTCGAATCTGTTCAGATAATGATGCTGTTAGGCTTGTAAGTTGTTTTCTACCCTTGTTCAAACATGTAGGATCTATGGAAAGTTGAATATATCTATTAAAGTTTGTTTAATAATAATATTATAGTATCTGATTCTTGGACTATAAAGTTTTGTCAACTTAAATCACATTCCTACATTCATAAATGTAATATTAGTTGTACGAATGGAAAAACAAAATATATTGGTAGATACTTGTTGTATAGTTAAATTTCTAAAAAAAAAGTTCAATATTATCATAAAATTACAAGTATTATATAATAATTATAGGTGTTAAATGTAATGCATTATTGGAGGAAAGAAATTCTATCATTTAACTTATTATGTTGGCCAATTTAAAATTTTTCTTTATTTATAATCAATATGATTTTATCTATTATTATTGCTTAATCCTACAAGCAAGTTGAGTTATCCTATAGGCTGCAGATAATTTAGTAGAAAATTATTGGAAAATACAATTTTAATTAGTTACCCAATTAATTATGTAATAAAGTTGCTTTTTAAAATGTTTACTTTGTATTAATCAAATTATAATCTCATTCTGTATTCTTATTTTCCTTATAATTTTAAAGTACATTTTTTTATTGGTACTTGTAATTTGTTATGGTGGACTTGGCTCACTCAAATTTTAATCCTACACACTGCCTATATATAGTTTTGAGGATTTGGCAGCTTTTCCAGAAATAAATGGACTTAAAGTATTTTTTTCAAGTTAATAGTTTTTTATCATTATGTTTAACCTAATATTTTAATTCTGAAAAAATCTATTTATTAATTTGTAGGTAATTTACATTATCCATTAGAAACTTAGGCTGTAATGTTGATAGCTATCATTAGTTAGGTAGTTTTATTTAATTTTTAAAGTTATAATGTTACAAGTATAATATGTTAAAAATATCTAGTAAATATGAGAAGTTCTTTAATTATTTCAGTATTGTTGGATAACATATTTGTATTACTTGATTTTATTATTGGAACAATAATATCTAAATTCATATTTAATATCAAAATTAAACAAAGTTTTAATAGGTAACCAATAGCTTACTACATTTTTGACATCTACTTAGTTCAATTTATTTTTCTTTTCCTTAAAATTATATTTAAGATGGTACATTTGTATGATGTGTCTGTATAGTATATAGTCTAGTTTAACTGATCAGATATAGTGCCAACTGAACCGTGACTGATCTCCTAAGGTTTTTTCATGCATGAAAATCGAGGCCACTACAACGGTCAGTCCAATCTTCACGGTGCTAACCTCTAATGTGTTTTTCTCTATTGGGGTATATATCACCCATGTTGATTGTATATCTATACACCATTCTTCATTGTCAAATAATATGTATTATGTATTTGATAGGTAAATCAGAACACTAGGTCAGTTCATTCATATCCTATTCGTTATATGTATAGTTTTAGACATTTTAGTTTTTTTTTTTTTTTAATTATCTTGATGATCATTATTTAATATTATAAGACTAGTATTTAAAATGTACTAAATTACTAAATTATTGTTTAATTTTAGAGAAATTAATCTAATGACATGAGAGGTTATCTGTGAACAGTGTATAAATCAACTGTTTTGATAACATGTGTTTATTTTAATTTTCCTAATAAATCAATTAACAACATAGTTTTATTTGTTTGATCTTTAACAATAATTGTCCTGATTAATGATCAGTAATAATATTTGTTTTATTATTTTTATAAGTATTAGTCTACGAGTCATTAAAAATTATATTTAAAAATAGATATCTTAATAAAAATATTGATATTTTTTTAAATATTTTATGTGAGTATCAATATGTTTTAAACATATAAAACATATTATTGTATTGGAACTGATTTCATTTAAAAAATAAATGGAAATACTCATATGGTAAATTAATTTTCTAACATCTCTATTGTGGAAGGTATGGAAGAATTAAATTGTTTATTTTTTAATTATATACCTTATAAATATCTCATGGTCTATATTTTTGTATTTATAATTGCATTGAGTACCTATTTAGTATTTTTATTAGTTTATTTTTTTTATTGTTGAATAATTTATGGTATTTATTGTTTTGGTAGTTTATTTATGGTTTTCAAACCAGAGTACAAACCTTAGAAATTTAAAAATAAAATTTCTATTAATATATTTTTTAATTTAAACCGTATAATCTAACGCTGTTCAATTGTTGCACAAAGGTTTTTTGATAATCATATTGAAAAACACGTAATCCAAATATTTAAAATAAAAATATTTATTTACATTATTTATGTGTAACAATTTAAACATTTAAAAATAAAATTATATTTATTCATGTAAACCCAGAGTTGTTTTACATTATAATTTATTTGCATATTAATGTATTTTAATAATATAAGTGATATTCAGTAATTATTTCATCAATTATGTACTAGATTATTTACTTTCATCTTTTATTGGTAGATAAATGTTATAATTATTTATATATATATATATTAATTGTATATTTTTAGGGAGTTGTGGGAAAATGGAAGTTAAAATTCCTTAATTATTTCATAATTAAGCTCTTTAATAAACATAAACCTTTTAAATTAAGTAACTCGACTTAGTAAATCATGTATCAAAGATAAAATAACTAAGTATTTAATGAATATTTATGTAACACATTTCATACGAGTAGTTTTATGCATACTTTAAATTATTGAATCTAATTTAATTTAAAAATTAAAACAGTAATAGAATACGTAAATATCAAAGTGTATTGATTGATGTATAAAAAAAATAATAATCCTATATTAATTACTTTTATTTTCGTATTTTAGAATTTATATGTTAAATGTGTTTTTTCAAGAATTTAAGAAATAATTTGTAATTATGTCAATCATTTAAATCGAGAAAGTACATTTTACATATGTACTGACGTACTGTATAGAGTCTTTAAAGTTATAATCGTTAATACCAACAAATATTAATTTGTGTATGATTAGTTTCATTATATTTTATATTATTAAAATTTAATGGAGATTTTTAGTGTAGCTTTTTTCGTTTCGCGAACTATAATGTAATTCTTCTGGTAATTATTCAGAATTTAAAAATTAGGATGTATTTCTTTGATAGACCTATTCTCAAAACTATACATTCTGATTGTATTTTATCAAACTGATGGGTGAAATTGTTCAAATAGTCTTCTAATTTAAGAATTAGACAAGACGGTAAAGCCTAAAACTTAAAATGTTGGTACTGTATAGTAGTTTAGGTAACTGAAATTGAATAAGCATCATTACGTAAAAATTTAATTGTTTGTGATAATTATATTTTTATAGTTGAATTTAATATGTGAAATATAACGAAATAATTGGACAAAAAGATTAATAATTGCGGTATTCTTCTTTATTTTTACTGCTATATTCTGTGTTTAAGGCACTCTAGGAGGAATTAAGAGTTTCTCTCCTGTAATAATTTTCACGCATAAAATTTTCGATGACTTGAGTGAAGTCGAAGAAACTCTCTCCGATGTGTATATTCCATTATCCTTTTAACTTTCGTCTGAGATGAGATCTTGGTAATGTGAACAGTCGATAAATCGAAAGGTGCGAATAAAAATACGTAAGTAGAGGTACTATTACAACATTCCCGACCTTGCCAAGAGGCCGCCGAGGTGGCTTATAGTTTTGTGAAGTCCGTTCGAGTTCGAGTTCGCTGTCTTTCCGGAAAATTGTTTTCTCTGTTGTTCAATCCCTGCAGATAATCGCAAACAAAGCCAGGAGGCATATAATCGTAGGTCGTCGGTCGGAAAGAAATACGCGACAGTTACGCGAGAGATTGTTTTTTCCATGTTTCCCAGTTTCCGCTTCAACGGTCATCGGTCGGACATGCGTCATCACGAAATCGCTCCGAGACGCCGAAGACAATGTAGCTCGCGAGCGCGCGCACACAGGAAACGGCTTGTGTGACAGACGGTTACAGGTGACAACAGTCTTCAGCGGTTTTTTTCTTCGATACGGGTTTTTCTATTTCTCGTGACATTCAAATGCGCGTAACGTTTTTCTATTTTTTTTTTTTCGTACGACCCTCCTGTCACCTGCGCGACAAACTCGCCGTGAAAAACCACCGACCGATCTACGTGTAACCATCGAATAACAGTGTTTACTTCGGAAATAATGGCCCGGTATTGTGGAAGGGGATGGATTGAGTAGATATTTTTGGTTGTCATCCTTTTGTTGATCATTTCCGTGAGTTATTTTTATTACGAAAATTGTAAGTTAATTAGAACAATAATAATATTGACCGAGACTGTGACTGTTCCGTAAAATGAAAAAAAATTGTTGCCTGCGATCAAAATTCGTAGTTTTAATACAACAGTGTAATTGCTACGTAATTTTCTACGGGAGATATTAATTTCTCTCAACCCCCCTGAAATAAATACTTAACACAACGATGGCGCCGAACGATAGCACGCCGTTAATGCCCTCCTGCTACCAGTTGTACAGTTGCCAAGTGGGATTTGCTTTCCCTACCGATTACAAATATAGAAACGACGATGACGGCAATTATAATAATCGTCCGTCGTTGTCTATTACACTATTATCGCTAAGCGGCGGCCGTTTCATTAATGATATCTGGGAAAAGGTTACCCGTCATATGCGGAACTGAAGTTTGCCGAGTGTGTGTACGTGTTTCTCACACTCCGACATAGGAAAAAAATAAATAGAAACAAGTAAAATAGAATTAATTTTTTTACGCGTTTAGAAATTGTCAAAAATATTAACCTAGATTATTCTTTAATCCTGCATTCGACTTTTATATAAAACAGTC